AGACCTCACATTCCCATCTATTGAATAGAGGTTATGGCAGGCCAGTAAAGGACTGGCCACTGGACAAAAAGGAAAACTGGGCGGAAATTCAAGAACAGCTCACAAGATTGAGGTGGTATTATACCCTTGGCATGCTGAAACATCTCTTTATTAGATTAGCAATTTAATATACAAAAGACTTCTCTGGAATCTGAAAATTAACACTGCAGCCGATTTGAAAAAGCTACAGTGAGTGAAGGGTTCTTAATACCATAAATTTGCTCATATTTTAGAAGTCCTACAACTTTTTTCTTTTGCTTATTAACGATTCCTCATCTGAACTGGAGGAGGAATATAACAAATTTTATTTCAGAAGCCCTCCAACTTTTTTTTTTTGCGTATTTGCTTATTTACACAAAGGGAAAAAACAGTCCAACCTTATTTACACAAAGGGAAAAAACAGTACAAAAATAGTGCCATAAAAAACAGAATAGAAACACAAGTTAAAATAGGCAAGAAAATGGTAAGTGAGCACCTGTCCACCCTAGATGAGTGCAAATCACCAGGACCAGATGGACTACACCCCAAGGTTCTGAAGGAACTGGCAGATATGATCTCAGAACCACTGAACTATATCTTTCAAAATCCTGGAGCACTGGGGAACTACCAGGGGATAGGATGTAGTTCCCATCTTCAAAAAAGGAAAAAAATGGATCCAGGAAATTACAGACCTATCAGCCTGACCTCAATACCTGGGAAGATCTTGGAAAAAATAATCAAGCAATGAATCAGCGAACACCTAGAGGCAAACAAAGTCATTACCAAAAGCCAACATGGGTCTGTCAAAAACAGATCATGCCAGACAAATCTTATTGCATTCTTTGACCAGGTGACAAAATTAGTGGACCAGAGGAATGCTGTGGATATAATTTACTTGGACTTCAGTAAGGCGTTTGATAAAATAGATCACAATCTACTACTTGACAAGATAGAAAAATGTGGGTTAGTCAGCATCACCACCAGATGGATTCGGTAGCTGGCTGACCGGCCGTACTCAGCGTGTGGTCCTCAATGGAACTGCGTCTACATGGAGGAAAGTGTGTACTGGGGTGCCCCAGGGCTCTGTTCTAGGCCCAGTGCTCTTCAACATCTTCATCAATGACTTGGACGAGGAGATAAATGGGGAACTCATCAAATTTGCAGACAACACCAAGCTGGTAGGAATAGCAACACTCCAGAAGATAGGCTTAAGATACAGAAGGATCTTGACAGACTTGAACATTAGGTGCTATCTAACAAAATGAAATTCAATGGTGAAAAAAGTAAGGTTCTACATTTAGGCAAGAAAAACCAAATGCACAGGCATAGTATAGGTGGTACTATGCTCAATAACAGCAACTGTGAGAGGGATCTTGGAGCCCTAGTGGACAATTACTTAAATATGAGCCAGCAATGTGCTGCAGTTGCCAAAAAAGCCAACACAGTGCTAGGCTGCATTAACAGAGGGATAGAATCAAGATCATGTGAAGTGTTAATACCACTTTACAATGCCTTGATAAGGCCATACTTGGAATACTGCATCCAGTTTTGGTCACCACGATGTAAAAAAGATGTTGAGACTCTAGAAAGAGTACAGAGAAGAGCAACAAAGATGATTAGGGGACTGGAGGCTAAAACATATAAGGAACGGTTGCTGAAATTGGGTATGTCTAGTTTAACGAAGGACTAGGGGTGACATGATAGCAGTGTTCCAATATCTCAGGGGCTGCCACAAAGAAGAGAGAGTCAAGCTATTCTCCAAAGCACCCGAAGGCAGGACAAGAAGCAACTGATGGAAAATAACCAGAGAAGCAACCGAGAACTAAGGAGAAATTTCATGACAGTTAGAACAATTAATCAGGGGAACAACCTGCCTCCAGAAGCTGTGAATGCTCCAACACTGGAAGTTTTTAAAAAGAGACTGGACAGCCATTTGTCTGAAATGGTATAGGGTTTCCTGCCTGAGCGGGGGGTTGGACTAGATGACCTCCAAGGTCCCTGCCAACTATTAATAATAATAATAATAATAACAACAACAACAACCATTCCTCATCTGAATTGGAGGAGGAATATAACAACTTTCAACAGTAAATGTAACTTGTCCTAATGTACCTCTGGCAGCTGGAAGAGGTTCTGTTCCATTTATCACTTGGCCCTTAGAGATACGAACTATTTGAAACAAAGTATTAACCTCAATTCATAAGACAATCACACTGCAGGAATAAAGGGAGATTAAATTCAAGCAGTCTTGAAAAGAAATTCGCCAATTGTCATCAAAATGAATTGTTTTTATTTATCTTAAAGGAAGCTAACTTTGAATTTCGGGCAATCCACTCTCCAAAAAAAGGAAGATTATAAGCCTTTAAAAATTTTAATACATACATGCAAACAATTACACTATATATTGAATAGTTTTCCTACTTGTTAACTCGGCTACTTTATTGAATCAAGATGTTGCACAGAAAAATATAGTCTAGTCAATAACCATAATACAGAACAACTATAATTACAAAGCCATCGTACAGGCTTAACATGAAATTGTTAAATTTATATCTATCCTATAATTCAGTGAATAGTTGCCTGAGCTTCAACTTCAGAAGAGAACATTTTTAAGGAGTTCAATTTTCCTGATACCAAGAAACAAGACACCTCTTTTAAATTGCCAAAAATGTAATTAATAGGATGAGAAAAATATTTCAATTAGTTAGCTAGAGCCAAATTTCTCTGACAACTAAGCAGACAAACAGAAATATTTCAGCCATTTATTTGTTATGAAATTTTATATCTGCATATTTTCTGTTACATTTTTTTTTACATTTATGCTATATAGCTTTAACCTTGGAAGGATGGAAGGCTGTGGGCAGAGTTAGCTTGCAATACTGCATTTTAACCACTGCACCATCAGGGCTTCTAATGGTTCAATCCCTTGATCACCAAAGTTCATCAGGAGGTTCCTTCTGCCATTATTTCTACAAGTTCCTTTGTTTGCATTGTCCTATTGAGTTATAGTTTGTGGATGTATAAAAAAGGTACAATAGCTGTATCAAAATGCTACAGAAGAGGGAGGTATAGCAAGGTAAAAGAGAGAAAAGCCTGTGATACTGTGATTCTCAATTCCAGAATTCAAAATGAAGTATTCTTGCCCTTTTTCCCTGTCTTCCTATGCTTCAAATGTCCTAAACAATCCCTTATGGACCAAGGTTTGTTTCATATGGTTGCTTTTCTCCCTAATCCATCATTTTAGCAGATTATTACCTGAGCAGGTAGCTTCATTTGGGTTTTATGTAGGCATGTGTTTTCCTCACGATGCATTTGTATCGGTTTATGCTTATGTTCATAATTCCTTGCATTCCTACCAAAAATCTTAATAAATAGTTTTTTATTTTTCCAATCTTCAGTTGTTTGAATAGGAAATATTTTCAGCTTTTTTGGTGGGAGAGTTGTTCAATTATTCTCTCTCTCTCTCTCTCTCTCTCTCTCTCTCTCCCTCCCTCTAGCCCTCCCTCTCTCCCTCGCCCCTCTCTCTCCCCCCCTCTCTCCACCACCCAAAAAATCTTACTCATTGTGAACTTTTCTCACAGCTATTCTCCCAAACAACTATGCTGGGTACAGAATTATTGAGCACTGACTGCAAAGAATGTTGGCAATGCTCCCTTGTTACTTTCTGTGCCAGCTAATTGGGGGCACTTGTTATCTTGTGGAAGTAGAAAATATACCAAATTTGCCCAGCTTTTTCTTGCAACTGCACACTGGATAGGAAAACTAAAAATAGCTATCAAACATTTTTGGACTAAATTCTGGACTTTAAAAACTCCAACTTGACATTCACCCTTCCCGTCACTAAAAATCCAGATTACATCAACTGAATTACACACTACAATAATCAGTTTAAAAACAACAGTACTTCACAATACTGCTATCCCTTAATCCAAGATTCAGAGTAGAATACTAGATATCTGCTATAATACTGACTCTAACCCTACACTGTACAATCAGCTAAACAGATGCTGATTTTAGGGTAAGTACTTGCCACTGAAATATTTCCACTCTTTTTGTACTTCTGCATTTCCATGCAGTTACGTACAACTGTAATATTCAGACTGACTAGCCTCTTTAAAATAGTTATTGGATACCAACAGCTTCCAACTCAAAATTTAAATGAAACATGCAAAGCCACTTCAACATTTTTTTAATCAAAGTATAAATGAACAGGCCTATATGGACAGATAAGTCACACTATTTTAATCAAAACAGGAAACCATGGGGAATCAGATCCAGACTTAGAATAGATTCATTTAAGTCATCCAGTCATGCCCAAATTGTCTTGCTGATTTAATTGCACTGGCTATTCTTACTAAATTTGAATCTAAATATGTATAAGCAAGACAAAAATCTTAAATATGTAAAACACTCTTCTTTTCAGTTATCAAGATTTTTGAACTGGAGTAATTCAAGCTATTAGGGCAGTGGTGGGATTCAGCTGGATCGCACCAGTTCAGTAGAACTGGTAGCTATTTTTTTGTTGTCTTTGGCAAACCAGCTGATGCCCTAGCCCTTTTTTGCAAGGCTCAGAACGGATCGCCAGAAGTGCATGGACGCCACTTCCGGAAGTCCCTTCTAACCCGGAGTCCGAGGCGCAGAATGGGCCACCGGAAGTGCGTGGACACTTCCGCCACTTCCAGAAGTCCGTTCTGAGCCTGGGAGGCCTCCCCCAGGCCTGCCAGGCTCAGAACAGACTTCCAGAATTGGTGTCCACGCAGAGAACCAGTTGTTCAGGTATTTGAATCCCACCGCTTTATTAGGGGCAATAGGGAAGAGCTATATAATTCATCTCTTCAACTCTGTAGCTATTTGGTACCTTCAGTTTATGATATTTTACTTGCCAATTTATTGAAACTGGAAAAAAAGCCCCTGTAGTGCTGCTAAGAGTACTAATACGGCAAGGAACAATCAAGAACTAACATAGAAATCCCAAAACTCACCATCTGAATAGGTTTCTTGTGCAAGTCTCTCTCTGTTACCAGTTTCTCCTGGTCGGTAACATAGAGGCCTTTTTGTGCCAAAGCTTGGATAACAGCATCATGACCCAGGAGAGGCTTGGCAGCATCGCTCTTCAGGATGAGACTTCCTGCACGACAGTAAAGTTCTGCAGACAGCAGCAAATTAACCACAGGAGGCTTAATATGTTCCTGGTCATACTGATCTGTATAAAATGGTTCTCGAAGCTCATCTGGTATATTTTCTGGAAAAAAACACGTATGCCTCGAGTTAAAAATGACAGTCTAATTCTCAGAACAAGTACATAATCTGTTCTAAATAGCCATAATACATTAAAATGACTTCATAATTGCTCTAGTATCAGCATCAATGTCTAAATTCCGCTAAGCAAAACATTCAAATTATCTGCAAAATTTGCCAAAATTTAATCCCTTGTGTTTGTTCCTTAGAAAGTAATAATTTGATAATTTTGGTGGTTGTATGATAATGGGAAAAGATAGCTTCAAAGCTTCCGGGCAGGATTCATGGTGAACTAGATCTCTCTGAACAAGTGGGAACGGTGTTGGGTAAATTGGCTACCAGATGGTGAATTTTGGCCAGTGGGATAAAGGAGAATTTGTGAGATCGTCTGCTTGTACTCTAGATGGATGCTCCTTGTGAAAGACAGCAGAGAGTAAGATTTTCTGGTTGGCTTTGAATTAAGTGACTGGGATATGAAGAATTTAAATCAGGTTCACAGTCATAATATAGTGCAGGGCTTTTCAACCAGTGGTACGGGTACCATCTTGGTACATTGGCACATGGCAGGTGGTATGCGACCATCCTAGAAAAGTGGTAGCAGGGATGGGGAATGAGCTGAACCGGTGGCAGCACTGCACAAGCCTGAGCGAGAGATGGCTGGAGCTGCAGGGATGTCAGGGCTCAGCAGAAGCACCAGGATCAGCGCTTCTTCGGGAATGTCAGGGCTCAGTGGAAGCGCCAGGATCAGCGCCAGGCTCCAGCTGGGGCTCGGCGCTGATCCTGGCGCTTCTGCTGAGCCCAGAAGAAGCACCGATCAGCTGGAATGTTGCAGCATCTCCAGAGTCTTGTGATTTACATTCAGATGCTTGGCAACTGATTCATATTTATGACGGTCATAGTGTCCCAGGGTCATGTGAAGTGACCAAAACTTGCTGCAACCACCCAGCAGACAGGGGGAATAAAAACCAAACACACCCCACCCCACCCCCGCTGCCAATCCTCAACAGAAATGCTCACAACAATGAAAACCTCGGACAGGGGGAAGAGTGCCGCTGGGTGGGCAGGCAGGTGTCTTGCTCGGCTGTGCCTTGGGGGCCACTTTTTTCAGTGCCATTGTAACTTCAAACAGTCACTAAGCGAACTATTGTAAGTCGAGGACTACCTGTACTTTTTTCCTTTTTTTTTTTTTTGGTCATCAAGTTTTTGACACCTTGCTAGGCGACTGGTGGTACTCGGATATTGGCATATCCTAAAAGTGGTACAATGGGTGAAAAGGTTGAAAAGCCCTGATATAGTGTATATGGAGACAAAACTTTGGGCGTAATTAATTTACAGCTAAAAAAGAGATTTTCTGAGCAGCAGGACAAAAAAAATCCATTTGGTGAGTTAACATTCTTTCTGGATTACAAAGGGAAATAAAAGGTTTAAAAAATTTGACAAAAAGCTTAACCAGGAATGGATGTAAGAAATATGTCTATTGAGAAGAGGTGAGATATGGGAAGAAGAGAACTTTTGTTGAAATATCAGAGAAAGTGATAAGTTACTGTAATTGTCTGTACTTGTCTGAAGGGAGGGGGAAGTCATGTTTTTATATATCTTTTTTATTTTCTTTGTTATATTTTTTTCTTTTTCTCCGCACTATTTTTCTTGCCTTTTTGTACTCTTAGTTTGTATTAGTTATTTTTATATTTGTATTTCTAAACTTAAAAGAAAAATTAAAACTGGACAGTAAGTTAGTTGAATCATTTGATATTAAATTGACTAAATCACTTATCAATATTAGTAATACTAAATTCACAGTTTTTGAATAAAGAATCAATGATATTTTTAAAGATGAAAGAGCAGATGAAATAAAGTTTTAAAAATGGAAAGCTCTGTAAAACAAGTGTCTGGAAATGTAAAACAACTTAATCACAAGGTAGAAATTCTCAAGAGTAAGACAGAAGTTAGAGTTTGAAAGAGAACTAGATAATCTGGCTGCACTGGAATTGAGAGTGAAGGAATTTTGTTTGATATTTAGAGCAATTCCGGAAGATTCTGATGAAGATATTAAATAAAAGATTATTTACAAATTTAGCAATTTTTAAAATTGGGATGAGAGGAGGCAGAAATTAGAATATATATAGAATAAATACAAGATTTGCAAGAATAAGAATTACAAAATATGAAACCAGCAGAGGTTTCAACTGAATTCTATCTACCATTTAAACATCTTTAATAAAAGTATATATTGGTGGTAGGAGGAGATAGTTTCAAAATATACTTCTTATAAACTCTTTCTCTTTCTCTCTCCCTCCCCATAAAACCACGATCTATTGGAGTTACTTTTCCACTTCTTTCAAGAATTAAAAAGTCTTGAATAAAAGCCTATTTTAAATTCAAATTATAAGCTCCTAGATTATAGCAGCTTCAGAAAAAATGGGGGTTCATATGAAACTAATTCCATTAAATAAATAAAGGTCCTATGAAAAGATGCCACATCAATAATAAGTTCCCCAACATGCTGGTTTATTCCGTAGGGAAGAGAATACTATGAGTCTGTGTCAGAAGTGATATAATATAGAAACAGCTTAGTACTTCAGTAAGAACAGGACAGCTGTGGAAACAAGGCCTACTTGTTAAATTTATGACTTGCCAATTCAGCTCTTCAGCCTGGAAATATGAAGAAACAAACTATACATGACAGAACGAAGTTGGAGAAAGATTTCTTTAAACTCTACCAGCACCATCTTCCTTTCCAAATATCTCGGACTGGTTGCAATAGCTGAAAAAATATCAACCCAAAAGCTGTACAGTGTTGCAAAAACTTTATCTGATCACAAATCTGTCAAATCATATATAATTGACTTATATGAACACCAATAACATGATAGAACTGTATTAACAAAAAAATGTTCCATAATGTATATTGAACATTATGAAACTTTTAGATACAGAGTTAAAAGGAATTCTTCCATTGTTAGAAGCTGAATCTTTATAATTTTTTTTACCCTAGAACAAACATTAATCGTATAAGCACCTTCTGGACTTGGCCAGTTATTATCAATAAAGATTATTCTTAGTGAAAGATTTATTACAATTCTTTTTGTGGATACTTGGAAGAAAACAAGATGAGAACTGCAAACATGCTAGCTTTCTCTAACACTTTAAAGGACGTCATTTTAACTTTTATTGCACAAATGTACTACTGAATGCAGTGAAAAATATGGAAATATAGTATTTGATTTTAGATATTTTTGTTAGAACATGCAATTTTATAAATTTTTTCTTAATTTTGCTTTTAAATCTTTTTTGTAAAGCAAAAATATAAATGTGAACAATGATTTTTTTTTGTCCTTATGAGCCTCTTTTCAATTTTACCCTTTTCAGGTTTGCCCTTCATTCCTCCCTTCCAAGAAATATGGGCACCACCATACTTAACTTATAAGTAGTATAAGCATCAATATACAACGTATTCGGGGGGAATCTCCCTAAATTATTTAGTTGATAGTTTTGATAGTTAGCGCCACGATTATGGTTCCCGTAGTGCCCAAGATGTTCATTCTGTTGAGGATTATGTGATATGAGTGTAACACTTACCAAGGGCACTCAATAATGTATGATCTATCCTCTGGCATGTGTATATAGAAATATTTTGCATAAATTTCATTTTTGTTGCAGCTAGCACAGGTTATCCAAAGATAATAATTTTTACTTAAAAAACATCTATGCCATTTTACAGCCAAATCCTTTAAAGTGTGTTTCCACAAACAAAAAGAATACAGTGCTAACAATTTGAAAATAATTATACAATTAAAGCTACAATACTCTTCCCTAAAACTAAGCTACTGCTTTTTTAAAACACACACACACACACTACAATTGATACAAGCATGAGCTTTGCACTGGATCACACATGAAAGGATGTGTATTGTCTCACTTGTAAAAACAGCCTAATAATGCAAGTAAACCAAATGAAGTCCACTTGCATGAATGTACATGATGTCCTATTTACCATATAGCTCAGTAATGGCAAACCTTTTAGAGACTGAGTGCCCAAACTGCAACCCAAAACCCACTTATTTATTGCCGGGTGCAAGGTGAGTGTGGCCCACTGGGTGGGTATGGCTGTGGTGGTCATGGCAGACTGGATGGGTGTGGCCAAGGTGGGCATGGTCACCTCGATATTGCTCATGGGGAGGGACGCCTGTGGGGGCCGGGCAGGGTTGGGGGAGATCCAGGGGGTCTCTGGCAGGTGGGGTGGTGGGCAGAAGGCTCGTCCTGCAGGGTGAGGCGAGGTAGGGTGGGGGTGCCATTATCGCAGGGCAAGGCAAGGCAGGGGTCAGAGCAGCTAACACCATCAGTCCCCGCACACAGAGGCCAGCGAGCACATGGGGGCCGACAGTGTCCGTCAGCAGCCACAGCCTGCCGGTTCCTCAACCGGCACACTCTAGGGCTCTGCAGCCCACCAGCAGCAGTTCAGAGAAGTGCCCACAGAGAGGCTCTGAGTGCCGCCTCTGGCATGCGTGCCATAGGTTCGCCACCACTGATATAGCTTAATAGAACTGATTTAAAGATGTTGTGAGTTAGCACGAATTATCCCTCAAATATTGAAGTCTTTTGGCTTTGTTTCATTAGTGCCTAACATACCGTATTTTCCGCCGTATAAGACTGGGCGTATAAGACGACCCCCAACTTTTCCAGTTAAAATATAGAGTTTGAGCGAGAGGGGGGGGAGAGAAAACTTGATGAGTAATATGCCAAACCACATGTGTAAAGGAATAAAATAGAATACCCGTATTTTCCGGCATATAAGACGACTGGGCGTGTAAGACGACCCCCAACTTTTGAGAAGATTTTCAGGGTTTAGAAAGTCGTCTTATACGCCGTAAAATACGGTACTCTCTTGACATAGGACTCAGTCTCTGAATCTGATTTTGAAGAAGCTGCTCCAGCAGAACCTATGGAATGTCAGCCTCAGGAGACAGAAAGCCAAGAAGCATCCGAGACTCATCAAACACAGCG